TCACACTGCTGCCGAGTAGTCTTTGATAACTTAGCTAAAAATCTCTGTCCTCACTTAGGGGTTAAGGGATCTATCCCACATGAGAATGTGCAAGTGTCGAATCTGAGCCAACTCAGAGATCAATTGATATCATACCTGAAACAGGATATTCGTTTGTTAGGCGGTGTGATGCTGAAAGCACAATCTATTTATTTGATGAGTTCAAAGTGGATATCGTGACTAAATTGACCTTATCTCGCTAGCTCTCTGTATTTATCGTACTAACTTTTACGATCCTAATACATTTCCTATCCATATCCCAAATCGTAACGAAGACAGTTTTCTTCGTCGTGCTTACTATGGGGGCCATGCTGATACTTATCAACCTAAAGGGGAAAATCTAGATTATTACGATGTGAACTCTTTATATCCGTATATCATGAAAACATTTCCTATGCCTGGGGGTAAGCCTGTCTGGCATGGTAAATTAGAAGGTCAGGATATAGACCGCTTGTATGGATATTTTGAGGCTCATATTGTCTGTCCTCCTACTATTAAGAACCTTTCTTAGCCTATAGGGATAATCTAAGTAAAACGATAGTCTTCCCAACCGGGGAATTCGTGGGTGTGTATTTTAGCGAAGAATTGAAGTATGCGCGCGACATAGGCTACCAGGTTACTCTTATCTCAGGCTACAGCTTTGAAAAGATGAATAGCCCATTCGAGAGCTTTGTAAATACTATTTATGATAAAAGAAAAGATGCAAAGAGAACGGGTAATGATGCTATGGCTTATGTTTACAAGATACTCATGAACTCACTATACGGTAGATTTGGTATAAATCCTAAATGCACGATCACTGAGGTCTGCGATCTTGATCGATATAACCTATTGACAAAGATAAGTGATTACATCTTTGCGGACAAGCTTAGCGAACATTACTATATCGTCACTTACTGGAGCAATACCGGACAGGTCTCCGACTCTGACTGGTGTCCTCCAAGGATATCAGCTGTTCAATTGGCTGCAGCTGTCACAGCATGTGCTCGGATTCATATGTATCCCTACATTTCCAGACCAGACTCTTACTACACTGATACTGACTCAGTCGTTCTTGGTAGTCCTCTTCCTGAAGAAGATGTATCATCAACTGAATTGGGGAAGTTTAAGTTAGAATACTATGCTCTTGAAGGTATCTTCTTAGCACCTAAGAGTTATTATATTATGTCTCAAGAAGGCAAGATTATTATTAAGCACAAGGGTCTTGCAAAAGCTTTGGTCAATAAAGAATGGTTTGAGTCCCAATACAAAGATATTAATAAAACAATGCTAACCCCTGTTACATCTAACTTCAAAATTGATTGGGTCAAGCTGAACATCACCAAAAGGAAACTCTTGTTAATCTTGGAATAAAAATCAATAATAAAAGGAATCCTATCTTTGATGAGAATGAATATTGGGTGGGCACTGTGCCATTGGTTGTTACAGACTTAGCGGGTCAAGAAATAAGGATACTTAAATATCAAAAGATGCTTCTTATTCAAGAAAATGAAAATCTAAATAAAGAAATCGTTGATTTAAAGTCTAAAATAACTTACTATGAGAGTTTCAATATAAATATGCTTGGTAAGACAGCTTATGACCTAAAGAAATCTACTTTAATTAATGATTTACAACAACCACCATCTAAAAATATAAAGAAGAAGAAAAAGATATATACAAAAGTAATAAAAAGAAAAAACCTGGTTAGAAGAGAGAACCGTAAGTCAAACATTCCGAAGTATAAGAAAGAATCAAGAAGGTCGCCGACTGCTACTAAGAACCTAACAGAACTTGAAAACAAAAAGATTAGAATCACCACATAGCAAATGGCTCGAAATCGGATGGAGTTCTTCCGCCGGTGAGTGTATCATCTTCGAGTGTCGCTGGCACTTATCCCATTTGCGGACCCTCATATCAAGCTATTTCACTTCCTCTAATGTTGACTGGTACCGTTCGTGCCCAGCTTCCAACTCCTCTCGCTAAAGCATTCGGTCTGGTCTTCTAGAAAAGATACGGAGTCGCTCGACTTACCGGTCATCTTTCTCTTTCTTTCCAGCACCTGCACGTAAAGTATTTAGGTAGCTGTAAGAGAAAGAGGAAGGTCCAATCATGCTACTTTAGAAAGATGCTTAACCCATGCCATCCCTTTCAGTCTTAGAAAGTGAAATCCCATAATCTATCATTCTCCAAAATTCCCCAAAGGGCGTTCAGAAAAACCGTATAGAGAGCGGGCTGCACCTAGCTTAGCCTATCCAATATCCGATTCAAAAAGAGCTTGGATTGCAGCTTTTCCTCTCTCTGTATAAAGTAAGTCAGTCCCAGTATTGGGCAGAGCCCATTGTCAAAGGATCGTTTCGCTGGAATGCTAGCTTGAATCTAGCTACTCCCATTAAAAGGCATTTTTCACTCTACTCTGGCTACAAACCGAATGAAGAAGTCGGAAGCAGTTCATCGCCTGTGGGAGCTTGCTGATAGTGAGGAAGCCATAATCTATAGGATTGCCTATTTTTCTATCTGTCTGGTGAAGAGAGAATGGAAGATACTCTCAATAGGACAAGCACCCAATACCTCGTCGAGTCCAAAGCTCCAGCTCAAGCAGTTCAGTCCAAAAAAGAGATGTCTGCCTTCGTTCTCGCTCAAGCTAAAGCTCAGTCTGCTAACTCAAGTCGCAAGTCAAGTAGTGGAGATCCCGTGACAGACAGAAAGAAGAGTTAGACTGGAATGCAAGAATGAATCTCAAAAAGGTCTGCTCTCGCAGTCAGGATTGCGACTTTGTAGATTTCCAATAAAAGGTATACGTCCAAATCCATTTTTGTTTACCCGGACTATACCCCTATGTATTCTACTCGTATCGTAGCATGAGACCCTCTCGGAAGTAGTTGAAGATCTAAATATTCAATCCCGGGCAAATTGATTCTTCAACTCTATCTGTCAATGGGGAGATCCGATGACGGACTCCATGGATCGAACGTTTTCCTTTCTCCTACTATTAAAGTGGGGTGGTTGGGCGCGTAGAGGGTCTCATTATCTTAAAAGACGGTAGACAAGACAGGATTTCAAATAATAGATGGAAATAGGCCGAGGAAATTCAGCCTTACCCGTCGCTTTCCTCCCTGTTTGGTTTGGTACGCTGCTTCCCCTTTCGTTCAAGCGGCTTTAAGCTCCTTAACTTAAGCTGAAATGCTAGAAGTTTGGTTGTTTCAGCCTATTAGTCTAGGCGAGCATCTAGTCTTTGACTTTGCTTTTTCGGGCATTCATCCCGAGACTACATTCCCTGAGGGCGGAACTCTTCATCTCAAGCCCCCACTTAGTTTAGGCTATCAGTTCCTTGCTTTTACTTTAACAGACCTGCTTGCCCTAATCGAATGTTATCCCTGACTCCATCCCCTTAAGGAAGGAAGGTGATCCTTCATCTAATGCCGTGTTTTTCCAACTCCCCTTCTTCCCATCTCAGTCATCTCTCTTACCTGAGCATAGAAGATAAGGGAAGAACTCCTCTCATCGTCCAATAGCAGAGACAAAGCCAATGAAAAGCGGATTCGGATTTGACTTTGATTCATAGGAATAGATCTTCCAGTAATAGTGTAATAGTGGCTCCTTCCTCTTTTATTCGATAGTGGGACTTCCTTGCCTTACACCTCATATACAAGGACTGATATTCGGCTTGAAGAGCCCAGTGACGACCTACTTAACTTTTCTTATCAACCTTCCTCTATGATAAGCTTTCTATATTTGCCCTCACCGGACAAGAAGGCATCTCCGGGAAGGAAGGGTTGAAGATGTCTTTCCCAGAGAAATGGTTTCATATAAAGGCTTGGCACCTAGTTATCTTTATTTAAGTCGGCTAATCGATTCCTCCTTAAGGCGAGTGAAGTGACTCATCGGTATGAGGCACGAACGGATATGAAGTGAGTTCATTGACCAGAGCGGGACTATTTGCTTCCCTTGCTTGTTTCAGTACAGTATCGGGGAAAGAAAATCAATCTATCCAGTAGCTCAATCCCTTGCTTGTTTAGTCTTAGTGTACTCATTCATTGTCGGTAGAATTCTATATCTCATATCTCAGTCATTAATTCTTTCTCATTGTACAGTAAAGGTAACTGTCTCATATCAGTCTATAGTGAGTATCCGTCAGTACAGTATCTGTATCAGTTGCTGGTATTTATTCCCTGTATAGTGAGTCTCATTCTTTACTGTATTGGTCTAAGTCTTGTTCTCTCTATACGCAATTCATCATATACGCTATCTCTTTGAATCGGTAGCAGTTGCTGGTATGGGTATTTATTCACTGGAGTGTAACTAGCCCCGCAGGGTACCCCCGGAGGGGAAAAGCTAAATCATAATATCCATCTTCCTACTCTTCTATTCCCTTAACTTGCCTTAAGCAATTAAGGTAGTGAAGTGACTCATCCAGTGAAGATGGGGCACGAACGATCCTCAAGACAGGACATACAGTAGATGCGATGTGATTCTTACTGTTGTAATTGAAATTCATCAGTCTCATCTCACTCCGTTGCTTGTTTGGTCGAGTGACCACCCATTACGTTAGAAGGCCTCTCGCTCCTTGTCCTTCCTGGATCTTTCAATCAACACAGTCCTTAGCCAACATCTATCTAATAAGAGTGCTTGCTCGTTAGAGTAAGGAATGAATTCAGGAGTTTACGCTGCAAAGACGATTCGTGCTAGCTCTTCTCTTCTTTAACTAGTTACATGTGTAAATATATATTGGGCTAGTTTACTAAGCTATCAGTCTACATAAACCTAATGCAATATTGATTACACTCCTTCTCCTTATACCCACAAATGTCAGTCTATTGGTCCTTTGGGTGATATCGACTATTCCGAGTGCTAATCTAAGGTAAGCCCTAAAGTAAAGGCCTTTTATTTTAGTTTAGGCCGCCGGCGGCGCAGAACGCACTAATCCGCGACCAGCAAGTTTTCCGAAACCGAACTGAATAGAATTGTTACTTTCCGCTGAAAATCAAAGAAAGCAAGAGTCGCGACTAAAAACTAACTCCTGACTGGGGCTTTAGCTCTGCTCTCTCGCGACCCCCACTCTTCGATCTTGTACCAAGGCCCCCTATCCACTTCCATGGCAGAAACCCAATCTCGAAGTTTTCCAGATGCTCTGTTCACATACTCATTGTCACACATAGGCAGGAAAAAGGACACTTTATAGAACGCCTTTCATATACATGATTAACTAGTCCAAAAACCTACTCAGCTTCAGTCTGAACGAGTAACTAGGGCGATGCCTATTCTTCCTTCCTATTAATTTAATCGACTTTATTCTGACTGGCGAGGCCAGGTAGATCTCTGTGGGCCCCCTTCCCCGCTTCAAATGGGAAGGCCAACATCCTTTTGTCGCCCGTTAGCAAGACCCAAACTAGATGCGTCGAGCTGCCTAAGGTCTTGACCACCTCCTCTTATTCTTATTTAAAGGAAAAAATAAGTTATCCCATAAAGTGCAAACGAGACTCCGCATCTAGATCAAGTTACCTTTCAAACAGCTGATTCTTTAACTTCTATCAAACAGCGTATTCTCGGCATCAATGCACCAACCCCTGCCAAGATCCGATCGGAAATAACCCAAGAGGAATTAGAAAAAGTAGCTTAAAAGCCCCCGAGATTCATATTTCTTTTTTTGGATTCCAGATAGGATAAGATTTCTTACTATTACTCCCGCACCGGAACTCTTGCTTCTTTGCCAAGAGAGGCTTCTCGCTGCAATCGATTCCTAACATCTGATCGGCGATTGTGAAAAAAGAATAGGTTTCTATTCGGTCAATAAATAGGAGTCATTTTTCCGGTCAGTAAGTAAGTCTTTAAATGTGTTCCATAGAATAGAAGAGAAAGAGTAAGTCTTTACTCCTTAGTCTACCGCTATCTTTCATCCTTTAATTGCCTTAAATTTGTGCTTTTTTTGTTGTAAACCGGCCGTTTGTTAGGATCTTCTCGCCGTAACCAGTAATAGGCTTATCCGCCGTTTTATTCGCATTATCGTGAGCGGGTCTGGTGAACTACCCTTTCACTGGTTCTAGCTACTATTGGATTTGAACCCTAGCTTAGCACTCCCTATTGTTAGGGGGATACTACCTGTCTAATCTTGATTCTCCTTTACAGACCAGCAGACCTTACATACGCAATTCCTCGATTCATTAACGTGCAAGAGAAAGCGATCCACAAGAGGGTTCGTTCATCTAAAACTTACCCACTATCGGCTTCAAGCAACTATCTATGTAGACTGAGAACCTATTGTATAAGGGTTGACTATGTGTGCAAATTTGTTTCCAATTTTATCACATACTCGATTTACCTAGGAAGTCCTGAGAGAGCAAGAACAGCTGGAATTGGCTTGATTGAGAAAGGGGGTACTAATCCTTCAGACTTTCTCAATCAAGGTAACTCTTCCTCCATTACTTACTGACAAACGGATCCAGGTAGCTCAGATCTAGCTAGGTTAGACGGTTCGGTCTTAGATGGTTCGCTTGGTGTAGTGTGTTAGGGATAGCTGAACAGAGCGGAACGACTTCTCGCTGTGTGTCTAGTAGAACCCGAAGCATTTACATTGAAAGAAAGATAAGATCAAGCCAAGCATTGAAGAAAGAACAAAGAAAAGGATTTACCTATGGGAGAATCCTGTCTAGAATCATCGACTACTCGAAACTCAACTCATATCGGAGCATGGAAAGAAGGATCTAAGGAAGGAGTACTGGATAGAAAGCCTATGGTATCTATTCCTGCTTCAGTCAGCTATTCATTTCCAGGGAGTTCAGATCTAGGTTATAAGATTCAGTTCGCTTGCTTCACTTCATCAAGGAGTTGAGTTGCGCTGAGATACTTACGATTACGCTCGCTTACCTAACGGCCTGAATAAGTCAGGTCGAGGGGAGTGGGGGTTCTGATCGAGGTGCGGTATGAACATAAAGAAAGCTTCAATCAATCGTTCCGGCCAATCTGACCCTCTTTATGCCTTTAGCTTTAGAAATGGAATATAACACTTCTTTAGGATGGCAATGAGAGTCTTGTTGGTAGCTTCTGCCTTACCGTTAGACGGAGGATAATAAGGGGCTGAATTTTGGAGTTCTTTCCCGAATCTTCTGCACAGGCCCCAGATTTCATCTGAGTTGAAGTGCTGCCTGTTGTCTGTGACAAAGATCTTTGGTAGGCCTCACCGATAAAAAGAGATTTTTCATGATGAATCTCACAACGGTCTTGGTGGTGATCCTGGTGCTTAGTTCTGCTTCCGCCCATTTGGTGTAGGACTCTGTTGCTGTCAGAATTCAGGCTGGTCTGGTACATGTTTCAACATAGACGTCGAACGGTCCAAGGATGTCAAATGCCCACATCGAGAAGGGCCAGGGGGCCGTCAACGAATGAAGAGATGACGAAGGTGCGACTAAAAGAAAAGGAGCGAGTGCCAAATTTCTGGCACTTCTTGACAAAGGCGCTTTTAAGCCCTCTCCATCCTTGGCCAATAGTCAGCCTTTCTCATGATCTTCTTTGCTAGCATCTAACTATTGACATGTCCTACGCATACGTTGGAGTGCGCTTGTTGTACAATGTATGAACCTTCTTCCTGAGTGACGCATTTTAAAAGTACTCAATCAAAAGATCCTTAAAAGAGTACCTCTCCCAGTATCACAAATCTACGAGCAAGTTCCCTCAGGGCTCTTCTCTGGTTCCGAGTCGCGTACTCTGGTATATGCCCACCC